ACCTGCAGTTACCGCAGATCCTCTCGACAGAAAACGTTGCTTAAGTACTAGCACACGACCTAAAGTGAAGGAGAAAGAACAATAGTGGACGATAAAACGCCTACTAAATTGTTATTATTTACCTCCATCACCAAACAGGATGTCTGCAAACCTAACAGAGCCTAAAAATCCCGTTGTCTTAGCAACCAAAGTCGAATAGGTAAGCGAAAGCATGCATGAAATGACAAATCGAGTAAGGCAAAAATGAAGTAGATATGGGTTACTATCTAATATGAAGGAACTCAAGATGCACAAACGGACAAATGAACGCATTCGGGACCAACGATTGAACGGTTAATGAATGGATAAATTAAAGAACATAAAGAGAGTCGACTGGAGGACAAAGAGCCGTTTTTTTAACTCACTAATGAGATGTTGAATTAGCAGATAGGAGAGCTCATGCGGCAGCCGTGAATGTACCACTGAGGACGCCAAAATCGTAGCCGCTGATCGTCTAACATAATTCTTATCGCATTCCACCTTCTCCAACAGACCCCTCAGGAGGAGCTATCATCAGAGTATGGAATTTAAAAAAGGAGATAATTAGACATTTCTATTGGTTATCAAACTAAAGAGTCTTGATCAAATAAACTACAGCAACAGATTCATTCGTCAATTCATTTCAAAATGAAAATAAAGTCCTAGAACAGGTAGTAGACACTGTTTTCCTTCTGTCGAAAAATAACGTGCCTCTTTTGAAATAATTTTTTGTGGCAAAGCCATCGGCGTTTGTTCTGATTTCATCAGGTTCGCCCCAGTGTCAAGTGTACGTGACGTGAGCATGGACAGACTACGTTACTCATGTTTTATGGTCAGCACAACAGTAGCATACGTCGGTTCCCGTTGATCTGCTGATAGTCTTTAAATGGCGCAACCGTAAAATGAACAGATTTACTGCCAACCTCATTCAACGTTCCAACAATGAATTTGTCAGGATGGAGAAAAAGTAATGCAAGAATGCAGCTGAAATCGTGTGTAAAGACGGGTTCAAAG